TCCTGAACACAAAAAAGAAAATTGAATGCAATTCTGCCCACTGAAAATCATGTCCAGGGATATAAAATATATCAGCGATGGGTTTGGCTGGAGTGAATTTGGGCATTTTGTTCCCAGCAGATCCATGAGACAACTTTTCCATGGAAAACGAAATTTAATGTTATCTAACTAATGCAAAATAATAATAAACAAAGAGAATACACTTGTATCTCCTCTCAGATACAATAAAACACTCAAAGCAATGCAATTTCTAAAATATTCAAGCCTTTACTTTTCCTGGTAGTAGGACCAATTTATCCCTGAGTTTGCAAATAGGAATGCATTTTCCAGAGTTTGGGAGATCTTTTTTGGACCCCGATCTTGAAATTTTTAATTTATTGACATTATTTTCCTGCAGTGCTGACTTCTGTCCCTCTGCAGATTTCAATCTGAAATACTTATCTCTGGAAGCCAAAACTTACCCACAATCATGAACAAGCTATGTTCTCTCTGTCAATAAGAGAAATCAAGTCTCTAAATCAGAGCATGGTGGGATTGAATTGTACCCCTATCATCTACCACTTACAGCTATCAAAGCATATAACTGGATTAGTGGGCAAACAGCTGTATTGCACATGCGTTTAAGCTGTTTTAAACAGCAGGTTTTCTTTCTGCCACAAACCACACCTCTTCAGATAGGAGAACTGCACATTCCAGGGGAAACCAGAATGTATTAATCATTGATAGTCTTTATACAACTTAAATAGGTCCTGTAGCCATTTCATTCCTGGAAATAAATTGCACAGGCTGCATGATAAAATACAGGAGTGAAGTGTTTGGAGTGCCAATACCCCCAGCTCCAGTATGAACTTGCTCCCTGGGAATTTTCACTAAACTTAGCATGGTTGATTACAGCTCCACTCTTTAAGAAATTAATGATATGTATTCATCCCAAATAGGTAGGAATTGGTAGAAATAAGACTTTTTAAATAGAAGTGACGCAGGCAAAGTAGAATACATCTCACTTCTAAATATTAAGAATGCCAGTATGGTATCTAATTGGGAAGGAAGGAAGGAAGGAAG